AGGACGAATCTGTGGATGACGAAGTTGCCGGTATTAATATAAAGTCACCCGAGTACCGTCAGTTGTCTCGATCAAATGATAATGAGCCAGGAAATAAACATGACACAGGAAAGGAAAATGAGCCAAGGAATGATTGGCAAGGAATCGACTTGACCTTTGTAGATGAAGGACGAAGGAGAGGGTCTTTAGTGGATGCTGAAATCGTCCATGGGAAGACCCCGACAAAGCCCCACGATGTGCAGTCTTCATCAAAGGCTGATAGAAATAAGAAACGTGAACGACAACTGGGAACCAGAACCCATGCCATTCTCAAAAAGATAATACATGCTATCACAAAATCAATTTTCTATCAGGATCCCTGGCTCACTGTCTTAATGCTCGTCGTGGGCCTCGTTGGAACGATAGATGGTGCATGGCATGCATTCTTCATTCCCCGGGCTGTGAGTAGGGGTATACCGCCTTCAAAAGCACTCACCCTTGCATATTCCGCAGGAGGCGGTTGTTTCATTGGTCGTTGCATCGGTGGTGTCCTCCCCAGTACTACACATTACGGTCAACATGAATGGTTTCTTACCTGGACAGTGATTAACTCTATTTCAATACTCATCGACATCCTCATTGCGGATTTTAACCTGATGATCTTCACTTCTTTTGTGTCAGCGATGTGTATCGCAGAACTTGACATTTTGCAAGTCACACTCTGTAAAGAAAGGTGCTCGCCTGAAGCTTTTTCAATGGTCTTTGCAGCTGAGGAAATCATCTTTGGAACCGCAGAGCTTTTTGGTACATCTGTCTCAGGTATAGAATACAACTTTGTTTCCAATTTTTTGTATCCAACCATTTGGGGTGGGGGTGTTTCACAAAGATACTAAGTTGAACTTATCTCTAAGTTGGACTTAAAAATTATGGAAAGCCGTTAGCATCTTAGAATTTTTTTTATAAAAGGCATAAAATGTTGATTAAAATCATTCATATTTTCTATTATCAAGGAGATTTCATGTTCTCGATGTGGAACTAAAATACTTGAATTTTCGCTTTTGAATATATTTTATTTTAAGGCTACAAATGGCTCTCCATAATGTTTAATTCCAACTTAGAGTTAAGTTTGACTTAGGATCTTTGTGAAACACCCTCAGTGATATTAGATAGAGCCATTGCCATAAGGGCCACTTTCATAAAATTCAGGGTTCTCATAGTTAGCGCCTTATTAACTGAATAGGTAATCTTGCTCTTTTATGTATAATATAATAATACATTGTTTTCTTCATTCAGTTTTTCTCCTCATGTCATTTTATAAGAAAACAATAGAATCACAAACAAAGACACCCCCTCGCGCGAATAGCCTATTGAAAACTGTCGAAAATGTTTTTAAATATTATTCAATTCTTATGAAGGATATCTCTTCAAAATGCCTAATTACCCTCATTTTGTTTTATTTCATTATCGAATAGACCATTAAGTGTAGATATGATTCCATACAAAAATGTTGGTATGGATTCTGGCTAAACATTGTAGGAATCATTCTCACGTGAAGAAGACCTAATTTGTTTGAATGATATGTTCTTGGTGCAAAGGGAATGGGAGGTAGTTCCTCATTATGAGGCCCCTACTTTCATTGGATCAGGTGAGCGAAAGGTACACCTACCTCTTAGGGGGAGGGTTCTTCTTTTATTTAATCTAGGAGCTTAAAGGGGGAGTAGCATTACGGGACTACAAGTCGTGTGGCCTGACTCGGGACCAATCGGTAAGGGCGACGCGACCGCAGTATTCACGTGCGTGTAACGAACACGAAACCGAAGCGTGAGGAGAACTTCGGTCTGTTTCGCGAACGCTATAGCGCGCAGACCGTTAATCAAGACCATTTGTTTACGTGCAGTTGTCCAAAAGAAGTCATATATGGCGTTAACCAGTATTTTCCATGATACACCCCCTTCAAGCCCAGGTAGGTACGCCAATGCAAGTGGATTCAATGCGGATTTGGGATATTTCTCTTGAATGGTTGCAAATGTAGCATACTGATTGTTTTTAATCGGTACAATCGCCATTATCAATCAAGTTATTCTCGTGCTTTTCCTTCTTTTCACCATTTTCATCTGTACAGGTTACCTAGCTGATATCTATGCTGACTTTAACGCTTCTTTTATTTTCTTATTGGTCATCGAAGGCTGCTTGTTCATCATGATGGTCATTTTAAAATTCACTAAGCATCCGACTAAAAATACGACTACAAAATAAATGTCAGTCCTGGGGGTTTTCACAAAGACTAAGATCGATTTAAAGTTGGATTTAACTATGACAGGCCATCCATGCCACTGGTTGCTCGCACCATTGGTCTCTCAATTATGATCTTTATATAATATTTTTCCTTCAATAATGAACTATCAAACGATTTAAATTCTGTAGATTTGTGACCACGATTTATACGTCCCTTGAGAAACCAATGCCAGGAATGGTTAGAGGAACTAGTGGCATGAACGGCCTGCCATAGTTAAGTCAAACTTAAAGTCGATCTTAGTCTTTGTGAAACACTCCCCTTGACAGTAAGTGCGATAACATCATGTACATGGTGAAAGAAAATGTGTGGGAAAGTTGATTATGCAGTACTTTAAGAGCAAGTCCACTCCAAAACAAAAAAAACTAATGTTCAATAGAAGCAGACAAATTAGACAAACCAATCAAAAAAGTTTGAGCAAAATCGGATAACTAATAAGAAAGTTATGATTTTTTTAATGACATGAAAAACTTTGAAAATCACAAGACAAATTGTCAACATACTCATGAGTCTATGACGTCATTGCCTCACTATCCATTAATTGTTTTCTTTATATTGATAATATAAATTTCCTATTCCCCCCCCTAAATTCGTATTTCTTCACACTAGCATCCAAGGGCGTGTTCACACCGCAAGGGGGGACCGTGGGCGGACCGTGGATCGCGCTATCGTAGCGCGACCCACGGTCCGCCCATTGGCATTCGCCGGATCCACACCGCATAGCGCGGTCTATCGTAGCACCCCCTTTTTGAGAGGTCCTGTTGCCATGACGCGGGACGTCATGAGGTCAGAGCGGTCAGAGATTTCGCGCGCTATTACGAACTAGGAGTGTTGAGTTGTACCGATTCAGATTCAGACCGCACCAAAATAGAATGAGTATAAAATTCCCCGCGTGTAGAACGATGACTTCCGGCGTGCTATCGTAGCTCGGGTTCACACCGGCAGAGATAGCGCGGTCTAGCGCGCGCTAGACCGCGCGATCTCTGCCGGTGTGAACTACCTCCAAGTTTGATTGATAGTATTATGTTTTTGTGTGCATGCACTAATATAGAGTTATTTTTTGTGTTAAATCGTGACAAATTTGAATTTTGATAAACTATTAATATAAAAATCATTGATTATGAAAATGATTATACAATTTTCAGAAAATAGTATCAATTTTTCAGAGTTCATAAAAGATTCTGTGAAATTTCATGGACGCATCATGATACAAATCATATAACGTGGGCAAAGGCATAGGGAAATGAAGTTTTGGGGGCTAAAAAGGGAAATAAATGGGATAAAAATATATAAAGCAAATGATTAATAGTGATGCAATGACGCCACAAACTGATAACCCATTTGGCAATTTGTGTACTGATTATCTAAGTTCCAAAGTTTTTGTTTAATACTTAGAAAAAATCATAACTTCCTTATAAGTTGTCCGATTTTACTCATTCGTTTTACTCAGTTTCTCATGTTTTTCTGCATCTATTAATCGAAAACTATTTTTAGAGTGGACTTAACCTTTAAAGATACTATGTCCCTTTAGCAGCCAACATCATATTCTGTAGAACTTTGCAGGAATTATGAATATGTCATGTATGTCCTATATGTGAAATTTAAACGTTAGCAGTGTCCTAATATTAAATTCATGCAAGGAAACCGGTTAACTTGCTAGACTTCACTGTCAGACACTATATCGAGTGACTGACTGGCCTTTTTTCCTTCTTTGATAATAACATACATAACATAAGCTGTAAAGGATACATGAGCATAACCCACTTCTTGTAATGGCCAAAATTAAACTGATTGAATCTTTGCGCAGCATAAATCGTACGACCATTCGGTACAATGGTCTGAAAATCAGACCATTACTTACTGGCTCTATAGCTCTTAAGTCGATTCTAAATTAGTATTATCTTTCAAATGCCGTTGGAATTTAACCTTTTCATTTTTTTTTGGCCTGCAAATGGGACATAGTACCTTTAAGAATAGATCATTTTCATAATGTAACCAAATTCAATGCATACGTCTTTGTGAGGTACCTCAATACAAATATTTCGTTCAACTGTAATGAATAATAGTATTCCAATAGTCAGAATGCAAAATGCATATATTACGTGTTGCTAGGTAGGGCAAACCATCAGTTTTGTCCTATCTGGTAACAATTAATGTATGCAGTTCGTATTCTGACTATTGAAATACATTTATCCGTAATAGATGAATGAAATACTTCCTATCGAGACACTTTGCAGAGACGTATGCATTAGATTGTGTTAAGCAGGGCTCCCACTTAGCCGAGTTGGAGGCTGTTCACACCGATAGAGATAGCGCGCGCTAGACCGCGCTATCTCTGCGGTTTGGAAGGTACAACGTCGTTTCGGTCCGCCCAACAGCGAGCCACGGAGAGCCAAAACGGCGTGCCACTGGAGCACCTCTTGGGGGTGGTCCACGAGAGAGCGCGCGGTCTAGCGCGCGCTAGAAAGAAGGGGGTGCTTCGATAGACCGCGCTATCCAAAGACGTTTAAATATAATTACTAGACGGAAAGCAGCACGCGCGGAAACCATTACACGAATGGGATTAGGCTCCGCCTCTTTTGGATCATTTGAAGACAAAATAAGCACCCGAGGCGGCTTTTTGATTGGATATGAGCCTCATGAATATGTATTTTATCGATAGTATCGTTTAAGAAACCGGATAATATATTTGACCTCATTACAAAACAAAAAAAAATTGCGTCACTTTAATTATGCAGATTTATGCACGACGCTACGACACTCGCACAAACTGAGAAGAGTTAGTTCATTGAGAATGGGTGAGTAATTGATTGAAATATGAGTAGATTAAGTGACTTTAGTCATCAATTTTGAAAAAGCTGCAATAGTCTTCGTGATGTACGGTAATTTCGTTACATTTGGAGACAGTTCTCAACAGATTTTTGGGGAAAAGACTAGTAAAATATTGCTCTTGAAATTGCACTTTGATTTTCATCGTCATGAAGTAGTTTGACTGCGGTTTGCCGTCATTTCACCCTAGTACTCCAGTTAGGGCCCCGGGGTTCCGGCAGGCCCACCCCAAAGAATTTCGGTGCTCATTTGCATCAAGATCAAACTTTCTAATCAAGTTTTAATTGAGATTTGATCGTCATCATGAATCTAATTCACCGATCACCGATTTAATTTAAATCTAGATTTAACGTTACACCTTAAAATAATCTACGAAGCATGATTTTTTTGATAATCCAAGTGGATTAATTATTGTTAAAATCTTTAGTAGATGTGGACTCTGATGGCTTTACTTATCAATATCGGTGCCATCCGTTCGCTCAGTTGCATACGCGGTCATGCGGTGCGTGTCAACTTTATTTAGACCAAAATTATCTGTGACCATTGATAATCAAACAACTCAAAATCCTATTCATTTAGATGTAAACCTGAAACTTATTAATAAAATATATTTAAAAAACATCAACACTAGTAGGATTTGTTTATTTTATATTTAGATTTTGTGTGGGTCCAGCGTGCTTGTCAAGTTGTCATTATACTATTACTAGAGTCTAGGCCTAGGCCTACTAGATCTAGACCCTAGCTATCAGTGGCGTACGCAGGATTTTTTCAAGGGGGGGGGGGGGGGGGTTTAACATTTTGAAATCGGGCCAGAAACTTCGCAACGACTCAGCCAGCCGCTGAAAAGGCGGGGGGGGGGGGGTAAGAGGACTTTTTTTTGGGGGGGGGGAGTCATCTTTTTTAGGTCATCCATTAGGATTTTTTTTTTTTAATTTTATTTAAAAAAAAACAACACTCAAAAAGGGGGGGGGGGTTTCCAGAAAAACATACACATAAAAAGCTCAAGGGGGGGGGGGTTAACCCCCCCCCCTGCATACGCGCCTGACCCCTATTACTTCTTTTAATATATTAGAGATTTTTTTTCTTCTCCAAATTGTGCAGTTCATGTTGATTAATCTATTTATTTGTGTAAGAGAAGACCCCTAGAGATCTAGTCCACAATTATGTTTACTTATGTAGTCCACTTCTTCTTGTCTTAATACACCAATTCTACTTAAGACTACTTTATATGTATAGGCCATATGAAGCACTTTTTGAAGCACAAGTTAAATCTTCCATTTAATTTTAATTTGTATACTGTGGTCCATTAAATTGGAATGTTGATTTCCACACCATATTAAAATTAAGGCCAACCATGACATGAAAAAAAGCTTTTATGCTAGATCTATTTTTATTTTGTTAAGGAGAAAGGGACGCCTTGATTGTCATATTGATTTTGTTTTCTTTTTGTTCCAACAGATTGAAACTGATGAAGATCAAGCTGGAAGGAGTTAACTGATGAGTAGACATTACAGCATTTCTTATATATGCAAGATGAAGCTGAAAGTGCCATGCAGGTAACATTTTCAGGATATTTAGCACACAAATATTAAACGACCACGTATTAATTCACTAAAAAGGAAATGGAACTAAGTTTATGTTGCAAGCGTATAAAGTGGAGGGTATATTTTATTCTAGTTCTGCACTTAGCACACAAATATTGATATCTTTCCTTTCTTTGTTTACAAAGGGAATTTGTCCTTATTTACAGGAGGTCCTGTGTGTAGAAAAACAATGTCTAATGCACATTCAAGGCACTCCATGATCATACATGTAGGGTATACACAGGACCCCTCATTACTTTTTTTTGTAAGTGGTCCTTTCACTTATTGAGCAATGAAGATGAAGAAGAACACAAAATAAGATTAATGAAAGTCTGTTTATAGGATGTATTATGGTTGATATGTATCTATTATTATCACTTTTTAATTGAAGTACCTACATTGTTTTCTCTTATGTAGGATGATGCTTCTCTACGGTGGATGATGAAGGCATGCTGATTACAAACCCAGGAGAGGAACAAAGAACAGATATTGACAGAATCATATCTAGAGATGTGGGCCTACTACACTTCATACGAGCAAGTGTGCTAATATACAATGTAGGTACCCCCAATAAACTATTGTAGAACACATATCGTGCAGAAAGTTATAGATCTGACAAAGATATTTTTCATTGTCCGTTACTTGTAAAAGAATACTTGACTGCATATCAAAATTGTGATTTAGATTTAAAATAAAATGTCGAAATAGATGAAATATAAGTCTACATTACGTATGCTTCAGTAGCATTATTTCCAGCACATTCACTGGTCCAAGTTGTTGGGTCATTTTATGTCCCATACTTAAAGGTAAAGACCAGTATTGGTAACGCCCCAATTTCAAAAAATGAAATGGAAGCTCTCATTACCAATCATGTGAAAGAATATGTTTTGACTAATACATGATGATAAAAAATTTGCCGGGAAACCGCCTACTAATTCATATATTTGGTAAATTTGTTTCTCTCATGGTCCTGTGAGAGATATAGGGTAGTCCCATATACATATTTCTGTGTATAGTGCTTGTAACTTTACGAAGAATGGGCCAAATGTCTTATCATTTTGATGATTCCAGAACCTTGCAGATGCTAGATGCTAGATGATCAACCTTTTCTGATCGATTCCACAACGTTTCTTTCACAATTCAATCGCATGACCATAACTGGTCTTTACCTTTAACCGAGTATTATTCAATTTTGACCGCGAGTTTACATTACAAGTACATTGTACATGTACCGGTATTACTTACAGTTGTATTTCATACTTGTCTGATCCAAGCTCCATCAGACCTATTGTCTTAATGGGATCATCAGAAATAATCTAACATGTGGTCAGTAACTAGTCTTGTAGGAAAAATAGTTTAGGTTTGCCCACTAGAATCCCAAGTGAATATTAGTCCTTCCTCTTTTTGTCAGAGCAGGTATCAGGGTGTATGTTATTAGTTGTTCTTTATTTTCTTATACACTGTATCTTATTTCATTTTCCATTCAACAGACTTGGGTTATCATCACAGCCCTTCTGAAAACTAGCCTACAACTTCATTGATGAATGCAGAAGACATCTACATGGGACTACGTCTTAAAGATGCCACCCTCATATAATGAAAGAGGACAGTAGAGATGGGTTTAAACTTGAATATTTACATACTATTTATTTATTATTTGTATTATATGTTTGTAGAATACCACATTAAAAAAAGCTAATGAATTTATCATCTTGTCAACTTTCAAATAATTAAAGATAACTAATCATCAATGAATAAACACTAACATTTTAACAATGTCAACTACCATCTTATAGGATGAAACTGAGGGCTGGGCAGAAAGAAATTTCCTTGAAATTTGAGTGATAAAGATCTATCAGTCTATATCAAAGATTGAATTAATCAATCATTAGGAAAACATCTCATTTGAGCTCTGCTCACCAGTTCACCACTTTTCCTGGAGCTACCATAATCTGATAGGAGCACTGACCACTGATAAAGGGATTACCAGTAGGGTCCATGGGGAGAGAGACAGTGGTCAATCATAGCCTAGTTACTGATAAAGGGATTACCAGCTGGTATCTGATATCCAGTCCAGATTCATAGTCTTCTCATCGCAGACCCTACACCTATATTTATAATAGGCCTGGATTCAGTGTGTCTAAAGTCTCACTTCATATTGTTTTTTTTAGCAAGTACTAGCTATTTAAGTTTCTTTTACGTATAGAAGAGAACATTGATGTGCTTGGCAATGGAAAAATGCAGAAGGAAAATATAAAGGGAGGATAAAATAGGGAAAGACGGGTGATAATAAGGAAAGATGGAAATGGAGGGAAAGAAGGAAGAGAAAATAAAGAATATAGCATAAGGAAAGATGGAAAAGGAAGATAAAAAGTTTAAAAAGAAATACATAAGTAAAGATGGAAACAGAAGATAAAGAAGGTTAGAAAAAAAAGAAATACATGAGAAAAGATAGAGAGAATAAAACAAGGTGAAAATAGAGGAATACATAAGGAAAGATGAAAAAGATAAAATTAGGAGAAAATAAAGAATAACATAAGGAAAGATGGAAAAGGAAGATAAAAGAAGGTTTATAAAGAAATACACAGGGAAAGATGGAAACAGAAGATAATGAAGGTTAGACATAAAGAAATACATGAGAAAAGATAGAGAGAATAAAACAAGGTGAAAATAGAGGAATACATAAGGAAAGATGAAAATTAGAAAGACAGAGAAAATAAAGAAGGGCATAAGGAAAGATGGCTAAAGAAGATAAAATTAGGAGAAAATAAAGAAATATATAATGAAAATTACAAAAGAGATGTTGAAAGGAGAAAAATAAAGAATAATATCAGCCGAAAGGTATATAGAACAAAGGTGATAATAGTGAAAAACATGAGGAAAGATGGAAAGGAAAGATGGAAAGGAAACATGGAGAAGATAAAGAAGTTAATTGGACAAATAAACTTTAAAAAAACCACCAACCAACAAGCGTTAACTGGACCAAACTTTGATTGGTCATGTTGCTGCATAATAACCTAAAAAGGGCGACTTGAAATAATCGCATTGTCACAAGTATTTTAGTTTTTCTGCATAAATATAATCATTACCTTAAAACATAAAGGTTAGATGGCTTATGTATTGAACCAAATCATTAATAGGCAAGCTTGCCCAGTACCTCTTTGATCAAACGACACGGCGAATTTTTAAGAACACTAAAAGAAAATACACTGAAAAACGGCCGCTCAGAGTGCCGGGCGCATTCACGATACTGCATGTGGCAAGCTGTTCCGAATTGGGTGGTGGAGTAACGCCTTTAACAGAGGCTATATTTGTCTACCTTACCCGACTTTCAAATGGAGAATCTCACTTTTCGGTGAACGGGGACCAAAATACCCCACTTGCGTGTCTGGTATTACAGACCGCTTTCTTTCCCGATATCTTCGCGTACACCAAGCTTCGTGAGAATGAGCAATCTCAGAATCTGGATGAATGTTGTCCTTGTAGTGTGAGGTTCATGAGTAATTATTGTTATAAACTACGACATATAGTATGGATGATAATGTTTGTCAAGTTTATTGCGGACTATGTCATCCTCATAAAAGTATTAGATAAGTAAAAAGGCCTCAATTAAAATAGTTAAACATGACCAGAAATCATTTTGATGTTAAGATATTTTTGACGCACTTCTCGTCATGATATTGAATTTATAACATACAACGAAACGTGGACATCATAATCATAAAGACGTTCGTTGTGCAGATATGTATTTGCTTATTAATACATACAGTGACAAAAAGAATAATGCGCTATAATCATGAGCAAAAAACCAAGAGGTTTCGGAGAAAGGTAAAAAATCATCCGAGCAGTCAATTAGGCAATTCTTCAACAATCTTTAGTATCAAAAAGTGAAAAGGTTTAACTGTCGTGATAAAAATGAGCTTGTCATAGAGATTTATTATACAAGTGAGCATCGAAATGTTTCTTTAACGAACTGCTATAACATTTTGAAACCAAATACACTTGTGCTGAAATTTCATATCCTCAGTATCGAGAAGCATAATGTTCCATTATCAACTATTGTAAAATAGATTAAGTCCTTCGATGTCTTGTAATGCCCTAATTACTCGGCTAATTATTATCTTTCTAAAGGATTGTAGATTTGAGAGTTTCTGTTTCTTTCGTGTTACATGCAATGGACATTCAATCATCACGGCTTGATGTGTTGTGGGGAAATAAATATTGTATCCTATACGTATACAGATCATATTAAATCGAATAAAAGCTTGATGAAATTCAATTCTTATCTTGCCAGAATCATCATTTTTTTAAATACCGTCTTTATAACGAATTCCAAGAAATATGCCGTCTGCCTAAACAACCACCCCCCCCCCCCCTATTTCAAATTTGACATCTAAGCCCCGGCCACTCCCTGAAATCCTTGATCTGCCGTTTTGGGGGGGGGGCAAGAAATAGGCAAAGAAAGTTGAGTAGACCTTGAGATTACGCACGGAATAAATGTAACGAAAACAATATTTACAACATTCTATTCTTGCTTTAATACCTCAAAAATATTTAACGGTCAAACCAACAAAATGTATGTTTTCCTGGCCTTTCCTTATAGGCCTAGGCCTATATATTTACAACATTCTATTCTTGCTTTAATACCTCAAAAATATTTAACGGTCAAACCAACAAAATGTATGTTTTCCCGGCCTTTCCTTATAGGCCTAGGCCTACACCATTTTTCTAAACGCGTTCGAGTTTACTTCGTCTATGCGAATAAATTTGGTGGCGGAGTAACGCCTTTAACAGAGGCTATATTTGTCAACCTTACCCGACTTTCAAATGGAGAATCTCACTTTTCGGTGAACGGGGACCGAAACACCCCACTTGCGTGTCTGGTATTACAGACTGCTTTCTTTCCCGATATCTTCGCGTACACCAAGCTTCGTGAGAATGAGCAATCTCAGAATCTGGATGAATGTTGTCCTTGTAGTGTGAGGTTCATGAGTAATTATTGTTATAAACTACGACATATAGTATGGATGATAATGTTTGTCAAGTTTATTGCGGACTATGTCATCCTCATAAAAGTATTAGATCAAGTAAAAAGGCTTCAATTAAAATAGTTAAACATGACCAGAAATCATTTTGATGTTAAGATATTTTTGACGCACTTCTTGTCATGATATTGAATTTATAACATACAACGAAACGAGGACATCATAATCATAAAGACGTTCGTTGTGCAGATATGTATTTGCTTATTAATACACGCAGTGACAAAAAGAATAATGCGCTATAATCATGAGTAAAAAACCAAGAGGTTTCGGAGAAAGGTAAAAAATCATCCGAGCAGTCAATTAGGCAATTCTTCAACAATCTTTAGTATCAAAAAGTGAAAAGGTTTAACTGTCGTGATAAAAATGAGCTTGTCATAGAGATTTATTATACAAGTGAGCATCGAAATGTTTCTTTAACGAACTGCTATAAAATTTTGAAACCAAATACTCTTGTGCTGAAATTTCATATCCTCAGTATCGAGAAGCATAATGTTCCATTATGGTTGCATCAACTATTGTAAAATAGATTAAGTCCTTCGATGTCTTGTAATGCCCTAAATGATTACTCAGCTAATTATTATCTTTCTAAAGGATTGTAGATTTGAGAGTTTCTGTTTCTTTCGTGTTACATGCAATGGACATTCAATCATCACGGCTTGATGTGTTGTGGGGAAATAAATATTGTATCCTATACGGATACAGATCATATTAAATTGAATAAAAGTTTTATGAAATTCAATTCTTATCTTGCCAGAATCATCATTTTTTTTAAATACCGTCTTTATAACGAATTCCAAGAAATATGCCGTCTGCCTAATCAACCACCCCCCCCCCCCCCTATTTCAAATTTGACGTCTGAGCCCCGGCCACTCCCTATTTTCAAATCCTTGATCTGCCGTTTGGGGGGGGGGGGGGCAAGAAATAGGCAAAGAAAGTTGAGTAGACCTTCAGATTACGCACGGAATAAATGTAACAAAAACAATACTTACAACATTCTATTCTTGGTTTAATACCTCAAAAATATTTAACGGTCAAACCAACAAAATGTATGTTTTCCCGGCCTTTTCTTATAGGCCTAGGCCTACACCATTTTTCTAAACGCGTTCGAGTTTATTTCGTCTATGCGAATAGATTTGGTGGCAGAGTAACGCCTTTAACAGAGGCTATATTTGTCAACCTTACCCGACTTTCAAATGGAGAATCTCACTTTTCGGTGAACGGGGACCGAAATACCCCACTTGCGTGTCTGGTATTACAGACCGCTTTCTTTCCCGATATCTTCGCGTGTTGTCCTTGTAGTGTGAGGTTCATGAGTAATTATTGTTATAAACTACGACATATAGTATGGATGATAATGTTTGTCAAGTTTATTGCGGACTATATCATCCTCATAAAAGTATTAGATCAAGTAAAAAGGCTTCAATTAAAATAGTTAAACATGACCAGAAATCATTTTGATGTTAAGATATTTTTGACAATTTTAGACAATATCATATTTAATTGTGTCCATGTACTATATCGAACTAGACAATTATGATGAAACTTGAAAGGAACATAATTATAACCAGGAAGTTCCTGATATATAACTATGCTTATAAAGTGAAGCAAGGAAGATGAAACTG